TGAGTCTTTTCATGAAGGCACTTCATTAGAAGTTCATCAGAGCACAGATCACTGTAGACAGTTTTAACTTTGTTGAGCACATAATTTGAAAGTCCTCCTTTGTGTACATATTTCCCTTGGCCGAGTGCTTCGACTCTTTGGTATCCGCACCAGCTTTTCGGTCCAAGTAGACACAGGCCATGTCTCGGTTGCTTGTCGGTAATGCTGCAATGAAAAAGACTGGCAAGGGTAGCCTTTATTTATTTATTTATTTATTTACATTACCCTCAGGGCCCATAAAGGCGTTAGAGTGGGTGGGTAATATAACAAAAATGCAGCAATAACAGAACACAATAATACAAGCAATTAATTAGAATACATCTTCAAATAATATTCAGTTATTAGAGGCTTAAGATACGATCGGTTAGTGCAGTCTAGGAAAAAGTTTTCGCACCAGCGTGCCCTTTTCCTAACCAGCGCATCCCGTAAACCAGACGTAAATTGTTCTCATTGGTACGACCCACCTTTCTCGACGTATGAAATGGGCGCTTGAACGCACAGTCGGTACACACGACCGCACAAGTCGAGCATATCCCTTGGTGAGAGCGTTCCTCGAGCTTCAGTGTTGTGTTCATGCATTCGGAACATGCCAGCGATGAAAACACCAAAGAAAGAATAACAAAGTCCATCATCCTGTTCCCTTGGAGCGCAGAATTCTCTAGTGGAGCCTGGTACGCCTTGTTATATGTCCCCAAGCTTCTTCACGGTCGCCGAAATACCGGCGCTTGTGTAGCGATTACCAGCAAACTTGCGCTTCCTCGTCTTCTGTGTTCTGCACTTCCCCATGCTGATCGTAATATGGTCCAGGTGGCCTAAGGATACAGCCCTAGTAGCGTTGACACGTGGAACCTGTTTTTCCAGACTTTGTTGCTCTTTCTTCTCCGCCATTCTGGTTGCCGGATCCCTACTGTTCTCTCTGTGAGCCGCTCCTTTGTTCACCTTGGCTAGTGCTTCCTCGGCAGACTTCAGCCTTTCTTCCATTGCCATCGTTTTCTCTTGCTTTGCCGCCAACGCAGTCTCCAGCTCGGTGATTCTCATCTGCAGTTCACTTTGGGCAACCATCGTTTTCTCCATTTTTTTTCTCGACCTCACATTTCTTACAATTCGCGTCAGCCTCCTCTCCATTCGCTTCTGCACTTCGGTCCATTTTCAAACCAACCTCGCATCTTGAACACTTTACAGCCTTTTTTAACCATGTCTTTATGATACCAATTGTCCTTATGACTTGTCTCACTCGATAATTACAAAACACGATCCCTGCCCCACGAAAAAAAGAAAGTCTAAGCTCTACTACAAAAATTTGAGTGTTCAGTGTACGTGTACCTCCCCCATGGGGCGGCAAGAGACACGCACCAACTAGTAAATGCCTGGTGGCTGACCCCGTAAAAGCCGTACAATGTAATAAGTGCTACAAAGATTTTAACTGCTGCCTTATTAATTATAAAGGCAAGCTCAAAACATGCAAAACGACTTATCTGCAAAGTGGATCGGGAGTGCCAGAATAACACGTCCATTCACCATGCCAGTCCGTATGAACAATTGCGCGCGTCCCCACGCGGCTCCTCCTCGGAGGCTTCAGTGCGCTCCGTAGGCGCCGCTCGCCGTTCATCACACTTTCCTATTCCAGCCACTGTACCATAGTACATGAACTGAGCGACTGAGCTTCAGCTTTGGATCGTCTGTGGCTCAATGCAAGCCAGTGGCAAAAGCAGGGCAGTCTCATTGCCATCGCTATCAAGTAATGGCGGCGCCCATGCTAGCTGAACAGCAGCGGTATAGCGGCAGTTTCTGGTGGTGCCAACACGTGTTTTAGACTTTGTCGACACATTTTCAGGCTCTGAAAATGCATCGAAATGTTAAAGATTTGGTTTACTGCATAAAAATAAGTGTCTGAGCCTGGAATTGCATCGTAAAATTTCGTTCGAGAGCGGGACAATCGAAGAAAAAGTGTTCGTTGTGGCGACAATATTTATGCATTGACTCCTATGGACTGCTGACGGGGAATCCTAAATTTTTCATTGTAGCGGAAATTTCGTTGAAGTGGCGTTCGTTGTAGCGAAGTTCGACATTAGTGGTTTTGGCCCGTTCAACCACAACAATTGTTACTATTGCAACTGTGCTCTGAACTGTTCGGTGAATAAATGAACTCTTTTGTACCCAAGTTACCAGGGCACACTAACCCTTTTTACAATGAATCTCCGTTAACCAGCGTGATCCCTTATTAGCACCAGCAGCACCAGTTGGCACCTGTTCCACAAACTGCAAACAATTTAGGTGGTCGTAAGCTTTGTGAATAAATGTCAATATTTAGCGCCTTTCATAAGTATACAGGCAAATAAGATTTTCTTTAAAATAATTCTTTTGTTTGCATCTGGATTTGTTGGGTGTGTAGCTTCGAGCTCTTCGAGAATATTTGGCATAGGTGAGGACTGGGCGATGACCTTTAAATCTGTGCAAAATTCAACTAAAACTGTTGCTTTATAAAATTTGTAACAGTGCGTGGTATTAAGACATGTTTTGTCTCTTTACCAGACTGTTTCATGTGGCGGCAGCTCTGTTGTTGAGACACCTGTTGAAGTGCGTTTTAAAAAAGTAGTTTCGGCTGTTGAAGCCCCACTATCACATTGACTTCTGGCATGGGTGCCGCCTTTCTGTTAGCTTTCTGAACTGTGGTAGACCACTTCAGTTGGGAGCAGTCATTGTCTTTGGGATAACCATAGCAAGGCTTCTAGTCCAATAAATGTCTCTATGCTTTGTAGGAAATGAGGGTAGTGTAATTAGGTTTTAATGATGTATGGTGTACTGGAACTGGGACAATGTGCAGTCTTGACAGTAGACCAATGGGAGAGGGGTGGTTGCTTTTGCATACCTGCACTCTCCCCAATTTCGACCTAATATTTTGATGATACGAGTGCCATTTGGAATCTCTAGAAAAGTGGCCGTTACAGTATAGGCTTTTTTCTTTTTAAAATCACGTGTGCACGTCTGATTTTTCTGTTATGACAATTGCGTTTGGGGACTGGGGTAGAACACTCGTCACTATACCTATAGTTCATTGTAACTATACTGTACAATGCCACTAACTATATTCTAAGCACTGTAGTACCTCCCATCTAGGCGAAGACCGGTTGCCACAAGACCCACTCGCTACCGTATTGAAAGGCGAGGTCGCTTGGCTCCTGCATATTCTGCGCTAGGCCTGCGCCACTTGCCTAGGTGTCAATTACGTTTGTTACGTGGTTGATAGGGTTGTACCTCACATCTAGGCGAAGACCGGTTGCCACAAGACTCACTCGCTATCGTATTGAAAGGCGAGGTCGCTTGGCTCCCGCATATTCTGCGCTAGGTCTGCGCCACTTGCCTAGGTGTCAATTACGTTTGTTACGTGGTTGATAGGGTTGTGCATTTCTGCGAGTTCAGTTGGAAGGTCGATGGCAGTGTCAAAAGCAAAGAAGTACTTGCAAGTACTCTTGGACTTGTACACAACTGAGTCTCAGTGCTTTGTGACTTTGGTTACAAGTACAGATTCCGTACCACATGCGCCTGTGGTGTAAGCGTCTCAAACAGTGGCAAGGCTGACATATTATTTGCAGAAGCATCAGAAATAAATTTGTGCTGTGGAAGGGCGAAATAACATGGGAAGCTTCTTCAGAAAAATCTGCGAAGGCAGTGTGATACTCTCAGAATACCTATTTGCAGGATTTCTTGTGGAACACAACTTACTGCTAAGCGTAATAGATCATGTAGGACGGTTGTTTTGGAAAATGTTCCCAAAGTGAGAAGACGCAAAGCGATATGGGTGCGGACGTTCGAGTACATCTGCCAGCTTCGGGAGAAAGGGCTTCAGATGTCGAAAGCACGGCGGTAGAGGCCCTGAAACGGCATACTTTTGCAGTCTCAGTGTTTGGAAGTGCATCAGTGGAGGGTCGCAAATGGCACTGTTTGAGTAATTTCCTATATGCAAAAAAAAAAAAAAAAACCCCTTTCTCCTGCACCACAGTTTCCCGAATTTTCGTGCTCGCAGGTTGGCAGGTATGCTTTTGCGATGACGCCACTAGTCGGGCACCATGATCGAAAGGTGTCCAGTGTGCATAGTGGACATTTGTGCACTTTCCGAGTAAAATAGTCACAATCGCTTGCAATTAAAAGTATCTACAAGATTAAAACCGGTCCAACACATACAGATGCATTAATATGCTAAATGATGCATAGTCTTAGTTCGCACAATTCTTTCGCAGAACAGGGACCTAGATAGTCTGCCTGCCTGCTATTCTGATTTCGAAAAGCATGAATAAGCATGTCACTATTCATTTGATTCATATGTACCTAGCTATGACACTAACTTGACGTCAAATGACGAAAGAAACGAGGATGTCCTGAAGGACAACTATCATTGGGTGAGTTCCACGACTGTTTACGTGCGCAAGCCAGGAGAGTAAGTAGTTGCAATGTTTAAAAATAAAATAATGCTGAATGACAAATAATACTCTGCTTCTTTATACATTTTACTCATCAAAGGGATGTCAAAGTTCAGGAACTATAAATTATCTGCAAAGGTGATGGATGTAAATGTCAGTAAACTCCCGAATTCCTGTTGGTCTGCAAAAAAGGCTATGCATAAGGGTTTTGCAATTGTAGAGTCTTCCTACATGCACATGCAGAAATTCGCTGATGCATTATCAGAAAGACAGCAATCCACGAGTTTTTCCCGCTCACACAGGACTAGCACATCAACTACCACTGCCAATCATGGAGGCTTTCTATCACAGCTTCTCATAGATTACTTCAGGAGGCGGTGACACATGGCTACACAGTAGTTATGGTGTGCTTTGGCACCGCTGGCCGTCATCGCAAAGATTCATGCTTCCGGCGCCACCAGTTACACCATAAATGAGGCGTGCTTTTGCTGGGACCTTAATCGAATTCTTATTGCACAGCTCAGCGAATTACTTCCCGTGCAGCCCCTGGGCCCCCTGGTGGCGGTGGAGGAGGAGGCCCAGGAGGAGCACCACGTGCCCCGCCCCCTGTCACCCCAGTTGGTGCGGTGACTACCCTTGGGGGTGGCCCTGTGCCCTTGGGTCCGCCAGCCCCGGCTCCGGCCCCTGCTGCAGCAGCCACGTCGGGGGCCCTTGGTCCTGCCGAGATGGTGGTTGCGGCGGCACTGCCCCAGTTTTCCTGTCCACGTCGTCCCAATGTGGGCACTGAGGGAAGGCCAATCTTGTTGCGAGCCAACCACTTTCAGATTTCCATGCCTCGTGGGTTCCTGCACCACTATGACGTCACCATTACGCCCGACAAGTGTCCGCGCAAAGTCAATCGGTGGGTTCCTCCTTCACTTGATCATTGGTTAACAGCATGTTAACAAAAATGCATGTTGCAGGGAGATAATAGAGACCATGGTCCAGTCGTATTCCAAAATATTTGGGAACCAGAAGCCAGTGTTTGATGGCCGCAAGAATATGTATACTCGAGATGACCTGCCCCTGGGCAAGGAGAAAGCTGAGCTGGAAGTGACCCTTCCGGGCGAGGGCAAGGACCGTGTGTTCCGGGTTGCCATCAAATGGGTTGCCCAGGTCAGTCTGTACGCACTTGAAGAAGTGCTCGAAGGACGCTCTCGCCACATCCCCATGGATGCTGTCCAGGCACTCGATGTGGTCATGAGGCACCTGCCCTCCATGACGTAAGTGCTTTTCACAGCAATGTAGGGCTTGCAGAAGCACATTATGCCCTTTGTAAGAACCTGCATTTTAATGAGCTTTCATTGCCTCGCCATTAAGGTACACGCCAGTGGGTCGATCGTTCTTCTCCTCCCCGGATGGCTACTTCCACCCACTTGGTGGAGGACGAGAAGTGTGGTTTGGTTTTCATCAGAGTGTGCGGCCGAGCCAATGGAAGATGATGCTCAACATTGATGTGTCGGCAACGGCCTTCTACAAAGCTCAGCCGGTCATCGAGTTCATGTGTGAGGTGCTGGAGCTGCGTGACGTCAATGAGCAGCGCAAGCCTCTCACGGATTCCCAGCGCGTTAAGTTCACAAAGGAGATCAAGGGCCTCAAGATTGAGATCACCCACTGCGGCAGCATGCGCCGCAAGTACCGCGTCTGCAACGTCACCCGCAGGCCTGCCCAGCTCCAGTCGTGAGTGAATTTCATGCATTCACTAGTAACTCGTGTACACGTTTTGCTAGAGGCTGTGATGTGAAGCCAAGCTTTCGATTATTTTTTTCAGGTTTCCATTGCAGTTGGAAAATGGCCAGACAGTCGAATGCACAGTGGCCAAGTATTTCATGGACAAGTACAAGATGAAACTCAGGCGAGTTCACCTTTTTACATGATGTGCCCACTTTGTTTTTCTTGCACCTTGTGTCACCAGCAGGAAACGGCTTAATATATTGTTGGGAAATAGTTTTGGGACTTGCGTTGCTTCAAGATAAGAATGGTTTATATTTAAAGTAAAGTAAAGAATACCATAAAAACACATGTATAACTAGGACCCGCATTTACAGTGGACTCCCATTAAAGGGTCACTCACCAGGTTTGACAATTTTGAGCTGACAAGCGCAATGTGTAGACAAGGCGTTCATGATCACGTTTGCCAAAATTTGCAACGCTATGCGCCGCGGAAACGGGTCAAATTTCAAGATGAACGCTGCTCCCCCTCCCCTCTGCCGGAGCTCGCCTAGAGAATGAGGGCATGACGTACGCGTATGAATGGCCCTATGTACACGGCAATGCAGTGACGTTGGTCCTCTACGTAGACGACTCTGCTCTCTGACATTGCAGACAGTGGCACGTGATATGGCAAAAATTATTCAACACGGCTATGCGTAGTTTATCTAATTTGTTGCCTGGAAAGATGAATAAAAAAAACTCTAGATAAATAATGAGACTCAATAAGGGAATGTGAGTGTGTTTTTTCCTTTTTCTCCCGCGAATTGCAGCGAGATGCGGGGCTAATGTGTTGGCGTTTCCCATGCGTTCGTGTCCCCGCGGTTAGAGCATGAAGCAGACGACCGCCTTGGAATGCTGCTGCGCGTTCACACACTCATTGTGCTCATCTATTTTACCGCGTCTTAGCCAGCATTTCCAAACGATCCCGCAGAAACAGGCAGAAGACCACAAAATAACGCTGGTCAACAAAGCAACGCCACTCTGTGCTCGGGGGTTGAACTTTTTTGGGCACCTCATGCGCACGTCACCTCTTGGTCCCATGCCGGAGAGGGTGGGGAAGAGATTTGGCTTGTGAAGGCTACGCGGAGGAGCGGCAAGGGTTGCAAACTCGCCTCCTTTTATCCTCGTTTCGCACCGCTTCAAAAAACCTGTTTTCTCCGCTCGTGATGAGCAGACCCGAAAAATTTGTCTGGCAAAATGTTCCTCATCGGACACCCAACAACTTCCGCTGTCTAACTAAAATTTTGAATGGGGCCTGGTGAGTGGCCCTTTAACGAAGCTTGGTTAAGGGGGGACACGGCTTTGGAGTCGCGAAATTTGGCCAGAAAATCAATTTTTCGAAAATCATATATTCACATTCTGTGACTTTTTTTAATCGAATCTCAAAATTTCGTCCCTAAAGATGGTTTGGAAATGACGTAATAAATTTTTATCGAAGCGAAGGTGATGAATTTCTCAGAAATAGCTAAAAAACAGCATTTTTTGAGCCCCGATATTTCCACAACTACGTAACCTGGCGCCATCATATTTGTCTTTATGGATAGCGCGATTTTTCATCTCCAAATTTTTCGCCTACGCCGGCTGAACCAGGTGAAAGCAAGCGCACACAGCAAGCGAAAGTTCCAAGGCCTACGGTTACTGATTGGCGGCGCGAGCCACTTGATAGTACGGGGGCTCCAGATTGGTCTCCCGTGTGATTGCTTGTAACGATCAATGCAAAGGTCGTCTGCTTTACGCGCTAACAGCGCTAACGGGTTGCTTGCTTTGCGTGTTTGCAACTTGTCGCGACATGATTTTGGGATCTCGTCAAGCTGCGACAACAGTTTCGAGATTGCATCTCATTGCGATAGCAGTTTGGAATTTGTGAAAGGAGAGAAACGTTGTCAAGCTTGGTTAAAATCGATTATCGCGTGCAATCATGACTGGCGACTGTCCAGGAAGAAACGCAAGATTTTGCAGCGATTTGGTGCTCAAAGCTGAAGCCGCTGATTGCGAAAATGAAATTCAGTCCTGTTGCACTTTTGCAAGCAACGACAACGGCGCGCGGCACGATGAGAACTTGCAGCAGACCACAAGCACGCACGGAGCATAGTAGCGAGCATCGGCGAAACAGTTCATATGCATCTAGAGCAGGGCTCTGTGTCGTCTGAGGAAACATCCGTTTGTTGTGGTGCACAGACTGCAGACTATCGCGCACGCCCAGGGATGTTAGCATGCCGGATGCTCAGCCAAGTACTTCGCGCAAGGAATGCGAGCCGGTCTACCAGCACCACTAGTAGCACGATTTGGGCCCGGTTAGAGCCTCATTTCGTGTCAGTGGGGGCATCGCGCAAACGCACCGCAACTGTTCAGGATTGCCTAAGCGCAGTGTCTGCGACAGAGCGCAAGATGTCTCTGTTGGTCTAAGGTGACGAGGATGACTGTCGAAACGGAAGACAAAGATGAGTTTTTCATAGTACAACGCATGGCCCTGAAGGGTCTTCTGAGCAGTGCTCTGTGCCCACAGTGCTAAGATCCTGGACTCAAGTTAAAGCACGGAACTAAGCATGGGTTAGTGGTAAAAATGGTCTTTGCACTGCTTGCGGTGTAAACGCGGAAAATGCGTAATAAAAAAGAATGTCATTTGAAGTCAACATTCTGACCATGCAAGCTATAAAAACGATTGGAAAAGGATCAACTGCACTGTCCGAATTTTGGATCTGTGGTGAATGCCTCAAATAAGCGAATTCATCACAAGACTTCTCAAAGGCACCTCAAGGAAAAATTTCAGCCTGCTGGCGCAGCAGCCGCAGCAAATGTGTTTTCTTATCACAAGACTTCTCAAAGGCACCTCAAGGGAAAATTTCAGCCTGCTGGCGCAGCAGCCGCAGCAAATGTGTTTTCTGACACTGTGGCAGCCGTTTGCAAAGTGTACCACGGGATGAAGGAACCAAGAATGTCTACGTGGTGTATGACACGCGTACCATATCGGCCTGGGCACAGTCATTGAAATCTACATCGGGCTAGTTATTCACAGCATTTTGTCAAATTACTGTCATGGATGTGCTGGGTGCCTCGAAGAAGGTGAAGACGGCTATAGCGCGTGTTTGCCAAAAAAAACAGAGGCAAACTTGTGCCAAGTGGAAGTCGAGGCTGCCCTCGTACTGTTTCAGCGCTCTCTGCCATAAAAATGGCCTGCGCTACACGAGCATAGTATTGTGATGGTGATAGCTGCGCTTTCTTAGCTCTGTGTCAGGATCAGACTTGCAGTTTTACACTGCCGAAAAAAAGAAAATTGTACTAATCACGTCAAAAAGAAGATAGGCACAGCCCTGCGTGCCATTGTCACAAATAGCAAGAAAGACCAGCTTATTGGATGAAAAGGTGGCTTCGCATAAAATTTGATCAAGCAATTGACGGACTATTAAGGCCAAGGCATGCTGAAGTAAAAGATATTTAGCGAGCAGTCATGGCTGCATTCTACGTCACCACCTCGACTGACCAGTATCCACACCACGAACTTTGACCACGGTCCTGATAGCTGGTGCAGACACTGGGCTGAAGAAGCTAAAGGTGAACCACAGCCACCCCTTAAATACCACCTGGGACGACACGTTGCTGCTGCCTGTGTACCAACGACTTTCAGATCCACAGCTTCTTAAACTAAGTCCGGGCAAAAAAAAAAAAAAAAAATTCACAGAATGCTGCTGAAAGCCTGCACTCAGTTATTTAGTTCATTGAGCATGATTCACTGATAGCTACAGAAACTGCAGTCAGTGAAAAATTTTTCAGGTATAATGCAGCAAACCTCGACGCCTCACCCAGCTTTGGGCCTCTTGGTCTTCAGCCTGGACGCTATGCACGCCACAGAGCAGCGGAAAAAGACGCCATGTGAAAAAAAAAAAAAGGCTGCAAAAGCCCGCCAGGCTAAAGTGCAGACAGCCAAGCGACGACGCACCGCTAAGCACACTAAGGACTACAACCCTGGTGCCTATTAGGCATGGAAACATGATGCAAAACATTGCACCTCGTTTTCTCAATGCTGTTCTTTTTTTTTGCATGTTGCTCTGCTCGTGGAGCAGATATCTCGGCAACTACTTGACAAATTTTGATTTTGTTTGTTTTGTATTGCTTCTTGAATTGTGCTCGGGGGCTGGCTGCATTTTGATTTTTTGAAATTTAGGCTTTTATTAATTTTTGGCAGGGCCTCTTCTTTGTAGTGAAAGTGTGCTTATTGAAGTGGCAGTGGAAAAAACATAAACTATAACTTTTAGTGTACCAAAAAAAAATTTTTGAAAATGCAGCCCTCTTCAGCATACATTTACTTTAACACGCAGTGTTTACCAACTTCTTATGTCTCTTTTTAAACTCTCCAGTCACTCCATGAGGTTCAATGATGAAATTATTTGTCCCTCAGGAAGTTCTAGTCATATCCCTTTGAAATTTACATGGAAGCATTATGAGGTCATTCTTAGTCTCTGTGCCGATTTTCATCAATATCTAACAAGAAACAAAAAAGTTCATTACAAAAAGCATGTCCCCCCTTATACGAAAACCTGATGCTTGCCGATATCGCGCGCGCCAACTATCGCAACCATGCTCTTGATTAGAATCAGTTCACGGCTGCAGCTCTAACTACTCCGCCTTCCCCCGCAGCTTTTTATGCTCGTTCAAGATGAGCGGCGTGTCTCCTCTCTGCTTGAGCATTTGACGCCAGTTCTAACACGCGGTGGGTTGGTAGCACCTGCGGCCTTCGAGCGATGGAGATCGGCTGTCTTGTTTAATCTCTGCTTGAGCAGCGCTCATAACTCCCGCTTGTGCAATTTTACGTGCGGGTCGAACGTACGATGCACAGGGAATGTTACGAACTTGTAGTTTACACGGAACATGGCCGTGACGATGAAAACCTGTCAAGTGTACATATAATTCCTTTTGTAATAAAAAATTTTTCACTTAATTGACTAGCTACGGTGCGGCGAGCGCAACTAAATCTCCTTGCGGTTTTTATGTCATCTGTGGCACTTCAATGACCGGAACATGTTTTTTACATTTTTATGGAGCCCTATTGGTTCAGTATGAAGATAAGCTTTATCATATTACGTTATCTCTAGTCTTGAGTTGCTGTTCATGTTGGATGCGGTATTTTAATCACATTTTGAACAT